AATTTTGACTTAAGTAAGTTACTTTACAATGATAAAAAAAAAATCTAGTAAAATCCAGTAAAATCTAATAAAAGTCATAAATTTCGTTAAAGTTAACCAACCTTGAATGAAAATCTCATTTTTGTCTCTAACACATGCATCTTTTATATCGTATTAGGAAAGAAAAGGGAATTTATCTGAGAACGGAAGAGCTACCAAGGAGATAATATGATACACGTATTCAGAATATAAGCAAAAATGTACATAGCTTCAACAGCATTAATGAAAATGTCAAAGTAAAGTTTAAATAGCTTAATTGTACAAATCCTCTTTATGAAAATTAGATTTTACACCAATTGATCTTAACGACTATTGAAGTTTCCGTCTATTCGTCAATGTTTGTACAAATAACTTTTTTGTCTACCAGTATTTTGTGTCTAGCAATTAAACTTTAATGGAGCGGATGCTTAAATTAAGTTAAAATTTTAATTAAACATCCTACGTAACGGAAAATCAACGGAGATGATGAAGAGGAATTAAATCTTATTCCTAATTATTTAATGAAAATTTTGTGAAGTGCACTTATGAATTGAGGCAATTGAGCATCTCAAAATAAGCCAATTCCAGGAAATTGTGTTTAAATTTTCACGTAGTCTCAAAAACATTCCCAATTAAGTAAGAATTGGGGTCATTCTAAAGTTACGTAGCATTTTATTGTCAACTACTAATACAAGCTTGCTGGATCCTATAGAATCACAAAGCAACATAGATTGAAAGCTTCTAATCAGCTCCCGTAACATCAGATCAACCCCCATTAGAGTCTCCACTAAGTAATTCCATTCATAACATAATATAATCTCGAATGAAGTCGTTTAAGTCATTCATGACGACACTGCACTATACATTTTATTTAATAATAGCAATAAAGAATAAAAGAGAGAAAAAAAAATCTTTTTATTGAATAAAATTGAGTTTAAATCCGAATTTCCTGTTGTTACTTAATATTTCACAAATACTAAAGTGAGAATCGAGATACATAGTTAAATATTAATCATTTGCTTGCATTTACCAACTCATTTTCACAGCATTCATTTGTTGTTGCTGCTCATTTCTTATACATCATCACTTCACAATTCTCATAAATAAAGAAGGAAAGAATGAAGGAAGGAATGAATTTATGAAGGAACAGAAGCTTTAAAGCTGGGTTGGATTAAGGATATGCTGCAGCTACGATCCAATGATTGAAAGAGATCCTCTTGATATGATGACAAAAGATAAGTTAAAAGTTGCTAGAATTTTTAAAAAATTAGTAAAATCTTCTGCTGCCTGGATTCGACTCTGACGATAAATGTAGCTGTTGAGAAAGTAGAAGATGTAGCAATAGGAAAAAAAACGAAGGAAAAAATTTCTTTTCTACTTAAAAGATGAAAAATTTATGACAAAAAAAAATTTCACAATTCAATAATGTCTTAATGCACATTTTGCATTCATCCTTAATGGTATGATTTATGCTTGATTTAACGTATTGTGATTTAATTTAAATGCGAACAAAATTGCCTTGTTTATCGTGAGATAAAAATATAATCTCTTCTTGTTGCTTGCTCAACGACGTCAAATTCGTGATTTACTCTAATGTGAAATAATGGAATATTTATTTTTTTTGGGAAGAGATTATGAAGGAGAAACGACATGAATGCTTTTTTACGTCGTTACTGAAATAGATGCGATGAATATGTACATAAAGGGGTTTAGTTAAATCACATGATCACAAAGCTAATCTAAAGGATGATAACCTCTTCTAATTGAATAAGTTTTGTGATGCTTAACACGATTCATAAGTTGAGTTATTTTTATAATATTTGAATTGGATTATTTATTTTGAGTTTTAATTTATAAATGTCACTTTCTTCATTGAATACAACATCCTGGAAAGATATCTACACTATTTTCATTTTTATCACAATATTCTATTGTCAAAGTAAATGTTGGTGAACAGGAATAATTTCCACATCTAGGCGAATTAAATGGAATGGTTTTTGTTGGTTCAATTTGGATGTCTTTGTATAAGCAGATATTTTTACTATAATGCTTGGTGTTCTCTATAACTTCTGTTTGTATTCGTTGTCCAAAAACAATTGAAGAAGTTGCAAAAATAATCAATATTGTGGTTATGGTCTTCATCCTTATTAATCAAGTTCGTATTAAAAACTGAAGATTTAATTGTTTAAGCTTTTTATTTATATTAAGTCATGGTTTTGATAATCACAGTAATTAAGTTTGTTTATTTCATTCGACATTACTTCCTTAACTTAAATCCTACTTTATAATCATTCAAACTTGTGCGCTAGTTCCATTTTAATACATTCTTAAAAGATAAGGTTCTATGTACAAAAGTTGATACTTGTGTATTAAAATCAGTTTGAGTATTTAAAATTCTGCGTCACCGGCAGCAGTATGGGTAAACTGTCCTTCGACTTCTATTCTTTTCACAAATTGTGACCTTCATCGTGTATCTTTGCGTACATTCATACATTCCACATCTTGGATATCCAAAAGGAATCCTGTCATAAAGTTCAACTTGATGTCCATCATATGTGCACCTTCTTCTTAAGTAATCTCGACGACTCGGATAATATTCTGTCCTACGATTCTGAGCAATTGCATTAGCAATGATTAATAACAAAATTAAGGTAATGCCAATTAGTTTCATCCTGTTAATATTAAGTCTCTCTACTACATAATATGAGTTTGCTACTTCTTTTATACAAAATCTGTTATCAATCGTGTCTGCTCAAAATTATTATTGATAATCAATTCTTCGAAAAGTACTAATTGTCGCAGATTGTGGCTATTTATAGAAAGCAGGAAGTATGAAAATAATAAGTTAAAGCTTTAACATTGAGATGAAGGTCTCTTTAGTCTGAGTTTTTGAGAAAATTTTAATCAAAGCTCATTTAATCGTCACTGCGAATACTTTGAATTAAGGCGAATTTGGGGTGTAGTGCAAATCGTAGACGTAATTACGTGGAATTATTTGTGCGCAATTCTGCAGAATTATACGGAACATTTTTCATAAAGAAGTTAAGGAATTCTACGGAATTATGCATAATTATGTCGAGTTCAAATAAATTCCGGGAAAAAAAACTGAACTGATTAATTTTTGCGATTGGCAAGTTTTATAACATAATTATACGGAATTTAGCGTAATTACGCGGAATTATATAAAATATTATTTTGAGGAATTCCTTTAAAAAAAAATTTTAACATTTAAAACTGTTTATTCCATCTAAAGAGTCCGGATCATGTGGTAGAATCTATGGATTTCCATGGACTTTAACAAACGATCCATAGATCATAAAAATCTTTAAAGTACAAGGATTTCCATAAATTAAAACAATTTTGACCCACAAATTTGTGGGGGCTAGACATTTGCACCGAAAAATGATAAGTCCACAACGAAACCACAACCAAACGAAAAATCACGAAGGGACAATAAGGCCACTTATAAGTGGTCTTAATATTTTCACTGCAAGACGATAAGTCCACTTGGATAAAATCATTTGTATAAGAGATTTTTGTCTTCACTTGAAGTTAATAAATTCGCAACATTTTTTGGAATCGTCTTTAATATCTCACTATGAGGCAATAAGATCACTTCAAAACTTGAGTGGATTTATTACCTCACAGTGAGTTGATTTATTTTTTTTTTGTGCAAAACATTCTTAATTTTACAAAAAAATATTGATCAGGTAAAAAAAAGTTTTAGTATTTTTAATTGTTTTTCATAAAATTGTCGAATTTAAACTATTTTTGATGCAAGTAAATTCACTTTTTACTACTTTTTACTAGAAGTTTTTCTTTATAAAATATAAGTATCAACTTGATTAAGTTTTCCATATAAATGCTATTTAAGATTTTTCAATTTTTGAATTGAGCTGTGTAATTTTCAGCAATTTTACTAGATTTTGTTTCAGCCGTAACAATCTTTTTGCATCAATTTTTCAAAAATTAATTCAAAAAGGAAAAAATCTATACAACTTTCAACTTTCATGTGAATATTGACTAATTTGTGGTAAATTTGACTTCCAGTGTGAAATTTAGCCTTAAACTTTACTTTTCTTAATCCTCTATCTTAAATAATGTTTAAACTTCAAACAATGTATCAATTAATTGTCTCTTTAACATAATATATATTTTTGTATTTACTCTCTTGGATTTTCTTGACTTTTTGCCGCATGTTTTCCAAATTTTGAAAACTTCAAAAAAAAACTTAAAATTTTATAATTGGCCTTATTGTCCCTTCGTGATTTTTCATTTTTCGGATATTTTATTCACTAGTCTTATCATTTTTCGGTGCAAATGTCTAGCCCCCACAAATTTGGGGGTCAAAATTGTTTTAATTTATGGAAATCCTTGTACTTTAAATCCATGGAATTCCATGGAAATCCATAGATTCTGCCAGATAATAAGGACTCAGCACTTAAAGATTTAAAATTAAAAAGAATCAATGAATTAAAATTCTTGCAAAGATTAGCTTCAAAAAATATATAATAATTAAATTTAGTTAAATTCAAATTAATTGAAGAGGAAAAAAATATAGAAATGTATACTTATCATTAAACACTTTATAAAACAATCATCTCAACTTTTCATTTTTTAAGATAAAAGTTTAAAATATAAAATTTATTTTTCTAAATAATTCCTCGTAATTACACGTAATTCCGTAGAACATTCCATGAAAAATGCGAATCGCAAAAATTAAACGCAACAAAATTGAAAAGTGGAAATATGCGTAATTACGTAGAATTCCATTGTAAAATTCCGTTGCAATAAAATTCTGAGGAATTCCGCTAAAAGTTCCGAGGAATTACGTCTACGATTTGCACTATATTCCGAATTTGTTATCAATAATTTTTTTTGAATAATCTGTCGATTGTTGACTGATCAGTTCTTTTCGAAAAATTCTATAAGATCACTGAAAATGTTTTATTATTAAGGATACTAAAATCAAAAAAATAAAGCACAACTTAAGACTTATTTTATTTGTAAATACAAAACTAAAAGTATTTTTACAAATTTCTTCTTAAAATCTAAAGTTTTAAGATCTTAAACTTTATTTATCATGATCAGCACAGCACTCTGGAAATCTTTTTAAATTCTGTGGTTTTACATTTTGGCATTGAGTTTCACGTAAAGTATAATCTGGTAGACATTCATATTGAGCACATGGATTGTTGAAACTAATGATTTTGTTAACTTCAACTTCTATGTCATTCTTTTTGCAGTATTTCTTCGATCCTTTTTGAGTTTTTGCATAATCTCTTTTAGAATATTGTCCAGTAATGCAAACAATTAATGCACAAAAAAATATGAAAACCAGGATTAGTCTCATCTCGTGTCATCTGAAGCTTGTTATGAACTGAGATTTGAATTTAAATTTTTTCAATTTATACTTACTTGAGTTTAAGATTACCATTCATAAATTGATTATTTTAATGGATTTTATATTAAACTATTGTCCAGTAATTTTTCATGCTTATTTACAAAACCAGTTGTTGGAGAATTCCTGATGGCTTTCGAACAAAGATATCAATTTGTTTAAAAGTTGATCTGCATCATTTTAAGACTGAAATTGAAGTATTTATAATGATTTATTTGTACTTCTAAAAGATATTTTAGAATTTGTAGAGTTTGCACCTATAGATTCCTTAGTGCAGTAACAATAGTAAGAAATGTGTATGCTTTTAAGAACCAATGCATTTTATTATACTTTCAAATCTTAACAAAAGAACTTAATTTTTTTTACACATAAAATGTTGTCAAACGTCCATAAACACCTCATCTATGCGCAGCAACTAGGAAACCTAAGATTTCCTGACCTTGTATTGACACAATATGTTCGCTCTCATTTTACACTTACTCATTATCTTTTGAATGGTTTTTACTTTGAACAAAATTTTTACATTAAACATTACATTTTTCTTTTTTGAGATTGAGAGTTTTTAAGGGTTCGTTCATTTAAAACGTCCGAAATTAACGGTCATATTTCAAAAAAGAACAATGGATTTCTTGGAATTTCTATTGTTCTTTTCTTGCTGACCTCCCCCCCCCCTCCTCCCCTGGACGTCATAAGGTACGGTTCCTAACACTTTAAAACTTAAATAAACTCAAAGCATTAGGAAAAACTGAAATAAAATAAGTATTTTTCAATATTTAAAAACAAAGATTTTGTTCTTTTTAAGTAAAAATAATTTTTATTAATTTTAAATTTTCAACCATATTAATTTCGACAGCATCGTGGAAATGGTTTTCTGCTGCCCCGAATTGGATTGTCACAGTAAGTCTCATGCAATGTATAGTTTGGCAAGCATTTGTATTTAGCACAGGGATTGCTGCGTTTTATTGTTCTGTTGATTTCAACTTCTATGTCATTTCGTTTACAAATTTTCTTTGTAGAATATTGAGTTCGATAATAATCTCTGGTAGGATAGACTGCAAGTGTACAAGCGATTGCTGCACATAATAACAAAATTGTTAATATGATCTTCATCCTTTTGTTTTTGTAGTTTGTTGAGAACTGATGATTTGGTTATTTTGGCGCTTTGAATTTATACTTGTTCATTATCTATTGATTGGCTTTTACTAAGAACAAAATCTTCAATTTTAACAGTTTCTTTGAAAAATGATAAAGTTAAAAAAAAGTATTGTTATCTATATTTTATTTTATTCTGTCCTCGAATCTTTTTTTTTTTAAAAAATTGAGAGTTTTATAAATGAGAGCTTAACTTATAAAAATGAAAAAATTACAATCTCAACATAATTTAGCTTCGATTTGAAAATCAGTTGTGGCTTGATCATCATCTTGTTATATAGTTCTTAATAGGTTAATCTTTATTTGAATCTCTTCAAAAGAAATAAAAGTAATCAAATTTATAATACAAATAATTGGATAATAACAAACGTTTTTGATAATTTCTTATCATTTTTGAAATTATGATACTATTCACACAATTTAATACTTGACAGTTGAGATAAAATGACAAATGAATGATATCAAAATATCCTAAATTGAGAAAAAAATTGCGAAATAAAAACTGAATTGTTACTGTTAAGTGATGGGGAAAGAAAAATTCTTAACTATACAAAAAATGCCGCTTTTTACGGTCATTAACGTTTCTCCGTATGTTCTTTAGAATTTCCTTCATCTCCTCATCATCATCATCAACAACAATATTTTTCAGCAATACAAATAGAATTACATTTTTTTTGTTAAAACATTATTGTATAAATTCTAGTGGCCTTGACATGCGGGTTATACAGAGACATAGAATGAAAGAAATGAAAAATAAAAAAGAATGAATGGAACTCCTACTTTCATAAAACGTCCGAGATTTTTAATGCACAATATGTTTACATGAGCACATTTACTTCCTCCACCCCGTATGAAAGCAGAAAAAAAAAAATTATAAGTGAGGTACTTTGAGACCAGGAAATATCAAGCATTAAATCATTAAAGACCAGTAGAAAATTCATTCAATAATAATAAAAAAAATATATATTTTTTAAGAGTAACAAAATTTCTACATCCCATAGTAAGCGTTCGGTTGGTCGGTCACTCATACATATAAAATAGATATATACACATTTATATTCTCTTAATTGTCAATTGACCCTAAATGTTCCCCAATTTGGTTTAATAAAATAAAAATACTTAACCCTTATTATTCAATGATGCCTTCTCCTACTACTGGATATTATTATACTTCATGTATATATGTTGAAGTCATCACATTTTCACTGTTAAGTTTTTTTTCTTATTACAGCATTTATTGAGAAATTGTTTGATGTGAATTCACTTTAATTGGGCTGGTACGATGTCTGGTGATACAATTGTGATTGAGCAGACGAATAAAAGTCATCAGCTGTTGATTTGAAGGATTAGATAGGCGATCTTGGTCTAATGATAGATCTGAACCAATCAATCAGCAGTTTGACACTTCTAGAAATTTCTTGGGGAACAGTAATGCTCCTCGGAGTATAGTGTTAGAACCAATGATCTAACTTGGATGTGACATATCCAAGGAGTCAAAAAAGAAAGGCTAATAACTAATCTCATGATGCCAATCGTCATATGGTTTATAAATATTAAAATAAATCAAATCATGACTGAAGATTCAAAAAATGCGCCTTAGTTCCTCAATTACGGGTTTGAAGTCTATTTGTAGAACTTTTTTCATTTCGATTCTATCTGTGAGCACATATCTGCGATAAATATATAAAAAAAATTCTCTCCGTTTCAGGCAACTCCTTCGATATTTTTTATTTCATACAATTCTCTCCTTTCTTTACTGTTCTGCAATTGAGCACTATTATGTCCTCCTATTTTTATTGTGAGAAGAAAAAAAAAGAAATAAACGAATAAGAAAAAATAAATGTTTTTCTTATCAGAAAAATTGGAGAGTTTATCAGGTTAAATGCAGTAAAATTGTTGGAATAAAAATTGTATAAAAATAGAAGGAAAAGAAAGATTATTTACTGAATATAGAGAAGAAAAAATATCGGAATTAAGGGCGAAAAATTGAAAATAAAGATTACTAAAAGATTTAGATAGAGAAATGGTTGGATTATTATTGCTTTAGGTAAATTAAGAATAAAATAAAAATTATTTTTAGATACTTTTCTGTTATTACAATTGGTTTCTGATAGTTGCTCCAATTGCAGTTCCAATGTAATATCGATTTAGATTTGATTGAATTTTTTCGATTTATTTTTTTTGTATTAAAATCAAAGACTTTTAAATGTGGAAATTTCAAAAAAAAATCATTAAAGCGTTTCTTTGATCTTCTTTCATTTTTTAAAATCCTGTCAAATGCTTCAAATATTCTTTGAGTTTCCAGTCTAGACATTCGACAAAAGAGACAGTTTAAAAGAAAATCCATTTAAGTTAAGCTGTTGAAAAGGCCAAAAAATTAAGCAGTTTGTAATTTATATGATGCTTAAGATCCATAGCATATCTTTCTTCAGTTATTGTCTTTAATTTGCTTAATCGACGATCAACTGCATGCTTTACTTTGCATTGACAATGCATGAATTTCAATATTTCATTTGAATTGTTTAAATTCCAAAGTTACAAATTGTTATTCCATAAAATCTGTTGATCCAGACTTTGAACCGTGAATTTGACATGTATTGTTACAATTTAACCAAATTTGATAGATTTATTCCCAAAAAATATTAAATATTAATAAATTCATACATCTTCAAATGAAATGTTGTCGAGTCAGGTATTGTACAAAAATGTTATTGATAAAATTGAAAATATTATTCTATTGATAAAAATTCATAGACGCAACAGTATCATTCAGAAAAATCATTAATTTATCACGTAGACTAAACCATTCAGAAATAAATTATGCGCTTCGGAATTGGATAGAATATATCAAACCACATGTAATCTTTCGGTAAATTAAATGTTAGGAAATTCTTTTTTCATAATTTTTTGCTTATTATATGTGAAAGGAATCAATAAATCTTTCAATTTGCTGGGTGAAGCTATCATGTTCACAACTTTCAATAAATCCAACAAAATGTGTTTGGATCAAATTTATGTGGAGATGGTTTGATGGGAAATTTGCAAATTGTTAAAGATCTGCAGAAATTTCAGACAGGCATTGTGATTCAAGGTAGAACAGAAATGCTTGAAATATCATACGAATTGACTCATTTGATGGTCTTTTGGTTTTGGTTTTGGAATTTGAAACTCTTGTTCCTGTTCAATTAAACAATAAACCTCAACAAAGGATTTGAAATAATTCTGAGATTAAGCATAATTCTAGTTGGTATTTTGTGAATTTAAGTATTGGCTAGGCTTTCTAGGTTGGTATGTTGTGTGCTAAATGTTTAAGATTTGATCTTAGTTAATTTTATCAATTTAGCATTTTTATATCTGCCATAATTTTCCTAGAACCAACAGTTTATATGCTTTTTTGGCTAATTGCACAAAACTCAAATTTGAATTGAATTTGATTAAAAATTTAAATTTTCCCTTATAAATTGATCAATTGATTCAACATCTTATTTATCATAATATTTCAATTTGAATTTTTAATATCTTCGATCTATTCTGACACATTGAATTTTATTTCATTGCTAAAGTTCGTCTATATCATTTCTTCAAAAATTTTATTATTCAAGAATATACATGTAGAATAAGTTTTATTGAACTTTGGTGTCTATAGTTCAATGAATTCTGCTCGAGAGAGACAAATTATTGATGAAATTTAATGTAAAATTAAAGATATTTATTAGTTGAAGAAGTTTTGAGATGTGGGATGAATATGTTTTGAAATTCTTTTTGATGGCAAGATTAGCTGAATGGAATAATCAAATTTTTGAGGTTAATTCAATAAAAATGATTTTAGTTCGATTTGTGGGAGGAATGTTATTCAGTTGAGTCACCTAATGTGAAGATTTAATT